AATATATTTAAACATGAAAAAAAGTGGTTTCAACTTTTACTTTTATACTTTAAGTAATGTTACAAGCCGGTACTTTGTTACTTTTACTTGAGTAAAGAAGTTTAATCAGTACTTCCACTTTGACCAGAGTATTTTTTAACACAAGTATCTGTACTTTTACTCAAGCACGGAAAGTAAGTACTTTTGCCATCTCTGCCCTGCTTCAACACACCTGAATTAAATAATAAGGGTCATCGGCAAGAAAAGCACAACTTGCATGCATGCGGGGTTGGTTATTAAGCCATTTGATTCAGGTATGATCAGGGACACATTTAAAAGTTGCAGGATCCCGGCCCTTGAGGACTTGAGTTTGACACCCCAATTAGAATAGCACAAATGTGAATTAAACAAGGAAAATTGGTTTCTGGCAAATTAATGTGGAAAATGTATCATTGTAACAAGTTTATATTAAAAGCTGTGTAGGTACCCATTATTATAGTGCTTTAATTTGATATAATAGAAATTCAAATCTATGATCCAAAGTGTTCCTAATAGCTGAAATTTGACCACCTTATGTTCGGGAGCTGTTCTAATATTACCATAACTTTTAAGTGATAAAAACCTCTGTAAAAGAATAGAAAGGAATAAATCAAATTACACTGTTTTGAGTTTTCATGTGCATAAACATGCTCTGGAACAAATTATACAGCAAAACCATTAACAATTTCCAGGAAACAAGACGAGGTCACTCCTGTTTCAAAAGCCCATTAAGGAGCCTTATTTTTCTATGATTCGTAACTTCTCTAATGTTCAACAATATCATCATCTTCATTCATTTGTTCTGCCCTGGTGTCTCTTTATACCACCGCCACCTTTGAACCCCTACATAGCAGATGTGACAGTAAAACCACAGCAATCCCAGAATGCAAAGCCGTCTAACATCTGCTCCCATTCCCCATACAAAGTGATACATATTCCGCAAAAACAGTGAAGCACCTTGATATATAAACTTCGACTCATTAAAAAACAGTTCCCAATCTGGTTCACAACATAAAATGTAATTAAGTGAAGCAGAGTAAACCTTGAACCAAACCAAAGACTTTTCATCATCAGAAAGCTTCCCAGCCAGCAATTTCTGCGTGTTCTTCATTACTAGAGAGATCACTTAGATCACTTAGACAGTGTTCTGTAGCTCACCATAAATAAAGATCTGAAAAACTTGAATGTGGTTAAAGCCAGAAGAGGGACGGTTATTGCAACAACTGGCAGTAAGAGTGCGAGATACTCCTGGATATTTTCATTTTCATCTTCTTCGTCCAGGTTTCTTCTTGGGACGTCCCAGGTGTCGTCGTCAGCCTCGTGGATTTGATCTGCGGATCAGAAAAAGGTGATTAACAGCTGTCAGGGGGATTAAGACATAATATCCTAGTATAGATTATGTCTTTTTAGAACCACAAACACCAGATCTGAGAAGCTCCACTCTCACACTACCATCATAAATGCTCACTTTCTCGAACAACTCTTAGCTTTATGATCATGTTGGGCTCAGAGATCAGAACTGCTCTTTTCTGACGGTTTGTCACGGCTTGGACGACCCGACACTCATACACCCCGGTGTCGGCAGTTGTGGTGTTCTTTAGAACCAAAGACACTTCTCCCTCCTTCATCTCTCTGTCCAGCAGATCTACTCGGTCCTTGAAAGCCCGGTCCTGGAAGTCTGCATAAATATGCTTATCTCTGTAGAGAAAGATGTATGCCATTTTCTGGTCGGGTCTGCTCCACTCCAAATATTTGATGGGGTCGATCATGTTGGGAGCTCGGCATGGCAGGGAGACGCTCCGTCCTTCCACAATTTTTATGTGGATCTCAACTGTAGAAGATAGATTGGAAATAGAAAAAACAATTATAAGTTACCAATTCCAAATACAGCTTAGGAATTATTTTTTCAAATAAAAATTTGCTTTTTTTTTCAGTTTGGTGACTTTTTCATTCTACTGAGAGACAGATTATTCTGCTCTGATGAACAGGAGTGGTTGTCCTGGTGGAAAATAATACTGTGCATCCCATTAAGCGTGGTTGGGGGGACAGCATCATGATTTGCGTGGCAGATTTCCTGCATTAAGGACAAGGAAATTAATTAGGTTAGGGGAAAATGAATAAAGCTAAATCCTGGCAACTCCTGGAGGAAATCCTATCAAATGCTGGGGTGGAGGTTCCCCTTCCGGCAAGACAAAACCCCCAAAACTTCTTGGTTTAGATAAGGTTTGCCCAACTTCATTGCTTGAAAGCTACTTTGCTGCAACATTTGGATGCATCCCTGTTCTTAAAAACCCCCAGTTTAACTCAAAGCTTATTCAGGCCTTACACCGTCCCATAAAAATAAAATCTGAATGCCCCCCTTTGCCTCAATACATGTGCTTTAGGTGTGCAGCATTAACTGCAGTTCTCATTTTGACCAGTAGACAGAGGAGCAGATAAGATTCAGGAGGAGTTACATGGAGGTGTCTTTTCATTGTGTGTATAAATCCTTTTTTATGATAATTCCCTCTATTTTTTAATCCAGCACAGGAATGGCGTTAAACATCAAACATTCTTTTAAAATCTGTCTTCATGGTCTTTCTGTTTAAGAGGCTCCTCCTATAGGGCAAACATGAGCACAGATGCTGCACCTGCTCCCTCTTGGCTTTATTTCTTGGAGAAAAAAAAACTTATTTTCATTGTTAGGTAGATGATGCACAAATTGATGTCTCATTTAAGGTGATTGAATCCACGTCTCACTACAATTTTATGCTTGGAAGGCATAAAGGTCTGGATGACTCTGAAAATTTAAAAAACTAAACGAAAATAGGACTGAGATCAGAATCAGAAATACTTTAATAATCCCAGAGGGAAATTACTTTTGTTACACGCTCCAGTTACAGTTGCATATATATATATATATATATGCATATGTAAAACTATATCCAAGTAAAGTGATAAATCCAAGTAAAGTAATACGTGGCGTGCATAAATAGTGCAATTCATTAATTTTTTTGGATTTTTTTCATTAATTTCATAAATTTTTATTTTTCATTAATCTTTATTATTTTTATTTTTATTTTTTTTTTTCGGTGTAACAATAAACATATACCGAACCGAACCGAAAACCGTGACCACAAAACCGTGAACCAAACCGAACCGTGGATTTTGTGAACCGTTCCATCCCTAATATATATATATATATATATATATATATATATATACAATAATAAGGCACTTCTTTTTGCATAAATGGTAAATGTTTTTTTCAAGTCTGACCAAAGCGAATTACATTCAGTCATTCACTCACAGCCACCACCACCGTTTTCCTTTCTAATATTTCTGAAAAACCCCTAGCTATGTAAAGAAAAACAGCCATTTTAAATTCGGTTGATTTAAATGTTTACATTAAACATTTAAATAACGTATTTAGAAATTCAACCTGAGAATTTTTTTTTCTAACTGTAAATTTTAAATGAAATTAATAAAGAGGAATTGTAATTGTATTCAAAATTGATGTGCTCAAAATATAAACATCCTAAAGAAACCATTCAGAATGCAAACATTGTTTGCCAAGAGTTTGAATACAATTATCTATTCTCTCTGCAGGGTGAGATCTCTCTGCATCTGAATCAGATGATCAGGAAGATCAGAAAATGAGAGATGGAAACAGCAGTCATGACAGCAATGCAACATGCTCTAACCACTAGGCCACCACTGCTCCACATAAAGGGACTCAGTGTTTTTAATAGTTCATAGTTGAAGAAAAAAAATAAGAAAATCCCTTTAGGAAGCAGTGTGGGGTTAAGGGTCTTGCTCAGGGACCCAGAGTGGCAGTCAGTGGCAGCGTGGTACTTGAACTTAACCCCTCATACAAACGGACTTTTGTGAAAAGATGCTTCTCTTTTGGCCATGATTTACAAAAACATATTTTTCCAAACATAGACATTACATGACAATAAAGAGAATTTACATTGAAATAGATAAGCAAATCCTGGGGGTGGTCTTATTGGTTTTCCTATAGGCTGCTTTACTTTGATGGATTACTAATGTCAAATCATACATTTTTTCTTAAAACAGTAGAATCCGAGTAATAAATTCAGCTTTGTTTGAAACTACAGAAGTTACTTCAAAGCAAAGCAGGACGGAATTCAACATTATTACCTATTTATACAAGGAAATTTGAAATTGCTCAAATTTAGTTTCTCTTCATGGCAATTATGTGCTAATTTCTGTGATGTCTTACTAAAACACCTCAGTCAATAACTACTTGCTGGAGGAAAATGTACATTTTACCAGCTTACTATATGGTATATTTTTATATTATTCACATATGTTACACATCCGACAGTTGTCTGACATTTTGACAGTTTTCTTTAAAAAAAAAAGATATAAATGTAAATTACTCTTTCTGTGAAGAAAAATCCCTCTGAAGATATTGCTCTATTTATTTGGTCTTGACCCTTTTCCACCAAATTACGGGAGAATTTTCTTTTTGATTTCTGCTTCTATTGAAACACCTCTTTTCCTTTGCTTTTTTTGCCTTCAGTGACCCCCAATTGCTGAAAAAAACATCTGTTTTAAATAATTAAATCTTATTTAGCCAAACAGCATGTCCACAGTGTCCCTAAGCTGCATTGCCGTGCTTTGTAGTTCTCAGCAAAAATTAAAAAAAAATTCTATGTATTTTATGGACACATTTTGATAAGTGATCTAACATGCTGCTTTATTTATGGTTAGAATAACAATCTGTTTGAATGGCATCCAGTATTTTAAAAGGGCCACATATTTTATAGTAGATTATGACAGTCTAACCAAAGCTGACGCGAAGTGTTTACTGGCACAAAGTCTTTATTGATAACAATTAGGAACAGTCATGGTGATATAATCAGTTCTGAAAAGGGTGTCAAATTAAAATTGTCTAAGGTTTCCACAGGTTTCAGTATAAACAAAGGATATATATGTACACACACACACACACACATATATATATATATATATATATATATATATATANACCTTTCTTCCCCATACTGATGCTCGGTTTGAACTGCAGGAGATTGTCTTGACCATGTCTACATGCCTAAATGCACTGAGTTGCTGCCATGTGATTGGCTGCTTAGAAATTAAGTGTTACAAGCAGTTGGACAGGTGTACCTAATAAAGTGGCCGGTGAGTGTATATATATATATGTATGTATATATATATATATATATATATATATATATATATATATATATATATATGGGTGTGTGTATGTATATATATGTATGTATGTATACATATGCGTATGTATATTACCCACTGTACCACTGAGCAGCCCACTATATAGACACACACAAACATATATACTATACACACACACACACACATTATATATATATATATATATATATATATATGTGTGTGTGTGTGTGTGTGTGTGTGTGTGTGTGTGTGTAATGGAGATAGAGAGGAGAGGATGCACTTACACACACTGACCACTATGAGCAGCACTGCTTTCACCACGGATAATGCACTTTATTTTTTTTTTGTTGCTAACTTCGTGGTTCACATTAAAAACAGGATCGGACTAGAAACTGGGAGAAACTCACAGACTAGAGCTCCTGCCAGCTGGGATCCTGTAGATATCATGAGGAGAAAAACTGCGAGGCGCATCATCCTGGAGAAGCGACCACTGCTCACACCGACAGGTATACACGTCAGACAGGTGAGTTCTCGGTCCTGAAACACGAAAACAGCTTAAATCTAGAGAAAAAAAAACATTAAATACCATTTTACAATCAAACTTACCTATGTATAATGGCCGTCTGTTTACCTGCCTAATAAAACCAGCCTGACAAGGTGTCTAGGTGTGGAGTACACCTGTACAGTAGGAGGAGCGGCTGCTGCTTTCAGGGTCCGCTCGGAACTCAGAAAATCCCGCATTTGACAAAGAGCATCCAGAAAAAAACTCACGATTTTTTTTATACTAGAAAAATTAACTAGGATGTCAATGATAATGGCCGAAATATATATACTTACTTCTGAATTTCACTCAATAGACCAAGATAAAAATAGATTCAATGTAGATTATTAAAAACCCTTTTCACTCAGATGTAATGAATATTTCCTCAGTGTATGAGCTTTGATTTTTCATTTAATGGAGAAGAACTCATTAAAATCTATGATTAAAATTTAAGTCTGCGTTTTGTGCAAACCGTCACGCTTCTGAAGGATTGTTTCATCAGAGGTTTTAGTTTCTCCGAGGCGCCATCAATGCAGCATAGTGTCTGCGTGTTCATCAGACGGAGAGAGAGAGAGAGAGAGAGAGAGAGAGAGAGAGAGAGAGAGAGAGAGAGAGAGAGAGAGTAAACTGTGGCGAAATAAAACTGGTTCCTTGCGCAACAAGCAGTTTTAACTTTTAAAAACAACCGCAATTCAGCAGAAGCTGAAGTTAGTCAGCATAGCTGTCTGTGTCAGGTTAAAACTGGAAACCTAAACATCACATTAGTAAAATAATTGGCCTGAAATGTAAGAGTCCTTTCAGGTTTTATTTGGGATTTATTCAATTTTTATGGTTGTGTTACCTTGTGTGACCTAAAGAGGGCGCTGGTACAGTGTGTGAACGAGCATCCACAGCAGCAGACAGCTCACGGCTGTCTGTAAAATATGAAATATGTGATGTTTGGAGAAGTCTTTTCTCAGTTTCTCTGTTCTTGTGAAAGCAAAGAGTGAACAACGAGAGCCACAGAGGAGGAGAAGCTGCTGCTGAACTGACCAAAAATCTCCAGCAGGATGGATGGAAACAGCTCTACTGCAATCAATTCAACTACTGTGATGAAATACTGTAATTTACTTAATAAAAATAGAGTGATAAAATAATTACAAAATAGGAATAGAAAAAAAAATTACCACTAAAATGAACATGCGGGAAAGGCGATGTTATTTTATCATTTAATTGTTTATATTAACACTGAATACTGCTTTTAGGCCTAGACATTTTGAAATGTTTCCCCTGGGGAGGAGGCAGTTTCCTGGATCTCTAAATATATGACATCATCCATTAATTTATTACTCAGGGGCCAATATGCTCACACAGTGACACACTTGTACTGTTATCAACTTTGGAAAATAGGGACATATGACTCTTTTATATTTTCCCACATCTGGAAACAGAGTCCTATCCTTTTCTAGCTCATCTGTAGCCTCCCCCCCCCCCACCACATCCCTCATGGGGGTCTTTTGTCCACAGGAGAAAATCCTAATTCACCTATTTCTCCCCAGCAGAAACTGTTACATTTTCCCAATTTTATTCTATATGTGAACTATATTCAGTTTAAATCTGTGTAAAAATGCCTTTATTTTTATTTTCCTTCTAGTATTTTGATCCAGACTTATTCTCCCACAGATAGTCTTCTATTCTAATGTGTATTCTTGTATCCTTTTCTGAAATAAAGAATTTTGTCTTCTACACAGCTAATATTTTTGTTAGAATTTTTCTTCTTTATTGTGAAAATAAGGTTAAAAAGTAAACTCCATTGCTTGGGCTGAAGAAAACACTTGTTTATACACTACCGTTCAAAAGTTTGGGGTCACCCTAACAATTTAGTGTTTTCCTGAAAAGTCACACTTATTCACCACCATACGTTGTGAAATGAATAGAAAATAGAGTCAAGACATTAACAAGGTTAGAAATAATGATTTGTATTTGAAATAAGATTTTTTTTTACGTTAAATATTGCTCCCCCGGGGGGAGCTCTTGCTGGGGGTGGCCTGGTCCGTGTGCGGGGTGGGGGGCCGGGCTCGCAGCAGGAATGAGATGGGTTGGTGTGGCGGTGTCGCCGCTCCCCCCCAAACCAGATTTTAGGTCCACTTATTGGGTCATCTTATAATTGCGGGACCAACCACCGGTGCCGCCCGGTCTTTGATCCTGGTATTATTGGATGTGAGTGTTATGTGTGAATGTGTGTCCTCGTTTTGTTTTATTTTTCCTGTGCTGCGAGTGGGGGCACTAGGGAGGGAAGGCGTGATTGAGATTGTGAGTGTTTTTTTGTCCCAGGTTGGGGTCTGAACTGCCCCCTCTCCCAAATACATCTCAAGTCTCCGCTAAGTGCGGAGCCCATTCCCCCCTTCCTGCTGTCCCTCTGCTGGCTGGCGTCGGGGCTCGCCGGTGCACTGGTGGAGCTCGGGGTCTGGGGGTGGATGCCCGGGTGGCTCCTGGCTCATTCCTGGCGGCCTCTCCAAGGCCGGGGCTTTGCGGGGGTCTGGTCTGGGGGTCGGGCGCCCCTGGGGCCTCGGATCCCTGGGGCCCTGGACCAGATTTACTTTGGGGTGGGGCTGGGTGTTGTTCGGGGATTTTCGGTGCCGGCGCCTTCGCTTCGATGCGGTTCGGGGAGGAGGAGAGTTGCATGGCGTGGTGAGGTGCAGGTCTTGGTTTTTTTTTTTTGGGCTCTGGTTTTTCCATTTGCATTTTTCCTCTTGCATGGTGCAGTTTTTTTCGGTGGGGGGGAGCGGTTGTGGGCGGGTCGGTGTCTAGTGTTCAGTGTTGCATTGTGGGGGCCTTATTGCTTGGCTGTTTTTCTTTGGGGGGATTGGCATGTCTGTTTTCTCGGGGGCGGGCGGGCCCGTTGGGTGGGAGTCCGGCTGGCGGCGCGTCGCTGGTGTGTGCGGGTCCGGCAGGGGTGTTGTTGGGGGGCTGGTGTGGATGAGCTGGCTGCGACCTGCGCTGATCGCACAGGTCGCGTTGGGTGTTGCAGTCAGTCGTCGAGGCTTGGTGCCAGGGAGCGGGGCGTGTTTTGATGCTCTGTGGGGCCGGGGCATTTCGGTCGGTGCCGCGGACTTGTCCCCGCAGAATGGTGGTGGCTGGGGGGCTTCCTCGAGGCTCTCTCTCCTCCTCCCTTGGTGGGGGTCTGATTTCCGGGGCTGGACCCTCCTTGGCGCCTTCGTTCTTGGGGTCCCTTTGGGCGCTTGGGGCTTTGGGTCTCCCGGCGCTGGACTCAGTGCTCTGGGGGGTGTGCTTCTCCGGCTCTCCACAACCACTATTGAGCATTTTTTTCTATGGATAAACTTTACATGCACAAGTGCACCCTCACAAACAATTACAGGTGCTTGGCTCCAGGTACTCAGAGATTCACTTCCATACAGAAAGCCCACATTTATATCTTCATGTAACACAGAGTACATGTCAGACTTAATAATATTACTTTAGCGATAGTTTCAAGGTGTTGCTTTATTGTATGTCTCGTACCATGTCTTTCTGTTGTGCTGTTCTTTTTTCATCTCGTTACAGGTGATGAAGCAGACTGAAAATGTTGTCATTGTCTCCTTTCTATCTCCTCTTTCTTTCATCTTTTCTCTTTTTCTTTTCTTTTTTTTTCTTTTTCTGTTTTTCTGCTCTATTTACATTGCAGTGTCCATATAAACTGTAAAGCTCCCTTCATAATTATAATAAAGCAATTTATATGAATTAAACAAGTGTAGCAGTATGGCAATTGCCATACTGCTACACTTGTGAACGTAAAATCTGTAGGGCTCTTTATGGCATCAAGACAATATTCTTATTGCCACATTGCCAGACAGGACACTGTAAAGAAAAAAAAAAAAAAAAAAAGTTAAGACTAGTTTAAAGTTATCTTCATTGAAAAGATCAGTGCTCAATGTGACCCCAAACATTTGAACGGTAGTGTATATCGATACAAAAGTATTTCTTGTTGCAGTTCTGCATTTTTTAACAATAACACTACAACAGGGATATTTCCTCTAACTTTCAATGTCTCCGTTATGATGCAGGGTGCCAGTACTGTTCCAAACTTCCAGATTTTGTACGGTTCTGACCTGCACACTCGGACCCCTTAGTGCACTTCCTTCATGCTCACACTGCATAGAGAGGCTTAGTGTGAGCATTGGGACTGGGCCTACATGTCCATCATTCCTTCCTTGCCTGACTCTGACCTTGCTTTTTCCTCGTGGATATCTCACCTCTGCTTTGCCCTCGTCAGACTCACGTCAATATTTTCCATGCCATGTATTCTATCTGCCCAGCCAGAAAAAGAGGACTTTGAAATGCATATTCCTCCCATTGCCATGGTGGATCATGTTACCTCCCTGTGTACTTAAAGTTGGGCTCAAATGTAAATAATAAATTGGCCTGTACTTTTATAACCAAAGTACGGCGCATTCCGTCATTTACCCATCCACTGATGGGGGCAAGTTACACTGTAACCACACCTGGCTGCTCAGGGGACTTAACGACACTGAAAGCTGGAGATGCGGATTGAACCATCGACCCTTCAGCTGCAGGGCAAACTCCTGTATCCGATGCATCTGTTGCCACAGTTACCAATGTGATACCACCTGTTCTGAAACTGAGCATCTCAGAGTCAAATAGGCTTACTCTGCTGGCTGCTCAGGATCATTTAAAAACCAACGGAGCCCAGATTAAGTACCTGTGCAACCAGTAACTTATTTTTAAAACTAATTGGACCCGTTTGGAGCAGCAAAGATTTTAAAGTATAATAGTAACAGATTTGCCAAAGCACATTTAGGATGCAGCAGTCTTTCACTGAATTAACTCATCTTAAATTATTAGCTATGGAGTTACCTTGAAATAGTGCTAAAAAAAAACAAATGAGACATTTGAATGGTGTCATAAGGTTGTTAATAATTTCATTGTTTATTGAAGTGTTTGCATTTGTTTTGTTAATTTCGTCAATAAATAATTGTCAGATGTTTTCAAATTGTTAACTCTTTACTTGTAAAG